TGTTCCTCTTCTGTCTGGGATTTGGAAATCATATCGTCGACATATACTTCAATCTCTTTATGCATCATGTCATGAAAGAGAGTGACCATCGCACGTTGATAAGTTGCCCCAGCATTTTTTAGTCCAAATGGCATCACCTTATAACAAAATGTTCCCCAAGAAGTAATAAAAGTAGTCTTCTCCATGTCTTCTGGTGCCATTTTAATCTGATTATAGCCAGAAAAACCATCCATGAAGGAGAACACTTTGGCTTGAGTTGTATTGTCAACTAGCACATCAATATATGGTGACGGGAAATCATCTTTTGGACTTGCTCTATTCAAGTCCCTATAGTCCACACACATCCTGACCTTTCCATCCTTCTTAGGTACTGGCATAATATTCGTGATCCATGGCGGGTAAGATGTCACTTTTAAAAACCCAGCATCAAACTTTTTCTGAACTTCTTCTTTGATCTTCTTAGACATCTCAGGATGAGTCCTTCGAAGCTTTTGGTTAACAGGAAGACACTCTTCTCTGAGAGGTAGCTTGTTCATAACGATGTCCGTGTCTAAACCAGGCATGTCTTCATAGGACCAAGCAAAGATATCCACATACTCGCGGAGCATTGTGATTAATTTGTGCTTGATACTGCCTTCTAGAGTAGCCCCAATCTTAACTTCTTTTTGGACCTCTTCGGTTCCTAGGTTGATCAACTCATTGGATTCTTGGTGCGGTTGAATGACCTTTTCTTCTTGCCTTAGTAATCTAGTCAACTCTTCAGGAAGTTCGCCGTCCTCCTCAGTTTCTTCTTCAGCTTGATATATTGGTTTTTCAAAGTCATAGAGAGTCATAGCAGAATCATTCCTGACATTTTATGCGATTAATGAGGGACACAATCTGCATGGTTATTTTTTGTCTTTATTTTAGTTTTAGATGTAAAAGAAAACAAAGTCTTGAATCTCGTAAAAAAATTCGAAAAGACAAAGAGTGAAACATTTGAAAATAAAAGACATTCTTTATTGACTAATAAACTTGTAAATGAAAAACATTGTGGCCTTACAGCGTGTCCGTTATGTCTTAGGCAGGACATAGGGATTATTTCATGATAACCGAAATAAAAGAAAGTTACTCTTCAAAACGGGTGACTTCGATGACGTCCTTGGCGAACCAGTTGGTAAGCTTTTCATTCGGCCTGGTCGGATGAACCCACCTATCCATCTCACAATCGATGTCATCTCCTTCACTTACTGCATGAGCTTCTTCCTGGATGGTTCCGCCGCTGACAAATCGAATTGGTGGAGGAATACTTTGACCTTCAGGAGTAGCGATTGAACTTCCCTGATTAGCGACGAAGCCTAAACCTTTCTTGTCCTTCTGAGTAGGGAGATCCAACACTCTTCCCCAGCCTTCTGGATGACCAGACTGAACGATTACTTGTGCCTGGCAATAGGATGGCATGGGGACCTCTAACCTCTTGTCTTCTTGATAAGGAGTTCTAACAACTTGTACAGTTTCGAAAGCTTGACACGGCGTATCATGGATTTCTCCTTCTACTTCAACATAGCGGAAATAACTCAGGTGACTGACAATGTAATCTTCTTCGCCGCAGACAGTGACCACTTTTCCATTCAGTAAAAACTTCAGCTTCTGGTGTAGAGTGGAGGTGACGGCGCCAGCCCCATGGATCCAAGGGCGCCCTAGCAAACAACAATAGGAAGGGTTTATATCCATGATAAAGAGGGTTTCTTCAAATACTTGAGGTCCTATCTTGATTGGCAATTCTAATTCCCCAAACACAGACCTTCTTGATCCATCAAAAGCCTTAACAACCAAATCACTCGGCCTCAATGAAATCCCCTCATAATCCAGCTTCAAAAGAGCAGACTTAGGTAATACGTTGATAGAGGAACTTGTATCAACTAGCACACGAGATAAGGTATTTTTTGCAATTTCCATGGAGATGTGTAATGCTTTTTTATGCTTCCTCCCCTCAGGGGGTAGGTCGATGTCCGTGAAACCCAGTCCATTACTTGCAGAAATACTATTCACAATTCCCTCAAATTGACTCACTGATATTTCTTGGGGGACAAAAGAGGTTCCTAACAGCTTCAATAGTGCATTTCTATGGGATTCTGAGTCTCTGAGCAAGGCGAGGATGGATATCTTTAAGGGTGCTTGACTTAACTGGTCAATGATTTTATAGTCACTCTTCTTGATGTACCGCATTAACTCGGCTGCATCCTTAGACATTTCATCATCAAAAACAGGAATAGGGGGATTCTGTTCCGGCTTATCGCTATTGACCATGATTTGTTTTCCTTTAGCCTTAGCTGCAGCATATGTACTACTTTTAGGTCGCTCTGGCGGGGAGAAAATTTGACCGCTGCGAGTAATTCTACTTTCACTGACAATATCGAGCACTGCAGGTTTCTCTTCTTCAGACTTGTCTTTATCAAACCTCTGAGTAGTAACCTTATTCCCTTGATAGTAAAGTTCACCACCATAATTCCAAGGTACCGCTTTGTCGCTAACGTACGGTACTGGACCAGGCGTAGTGATAAGTAGTGGAGACTTCTTAGCAGGTACCACGATTGTTACAGGGACTCGGGTATATGCTGAATTACTTCCCTTTCAATGTACGTAACTCAGTAAATTTTAGGTCGAGTCTTGGTTTTTGTTGATTACTCTGTTGGGGGGTATATGTTGGATGTTGAGGGGGAGCTATTGGAATTGTTATAGCAGTAGCCTGGTTCCCATAGCCACAACATCTTCTTGAATTTGTTCCATCTGTCTTTTGGCGGTGCTTCGAGTATTATAACGATGGGAATTCGTAGTGGCTATCTTCTACAAAGGGGAGGCCCAAATCAAGGAATAAGAAGACCTGCCATAATTATTTCTCATATTATGATATGCATGAATGCATGATTGTGTATGCAATGTTATATTATTTCCAGGACATCCCAAGTTTTATTACCCCTAGGAATTTTAAACAACGTGATAAGAGAGACAAACGGTGGGAAGAAATTTTGATTAACAATTGATCTCATTAAAAACATCATTCATATGATCCAATGGTAACTTCTTACAAGCATGATTCAGAAACTGTAATGAAATCTAAATGACCCCATCCAACAAGACTGGTGGTGATCAAAAGACAAAAAGAAAATAAAAGGGGAGAAGAAGATAATCAACGGGGTGTATCTCTAATCTCTGTGTAGCACAATGGTCCTCCTTGCCGGAAGTACTCCTCACTCCATTCCTTAGTTTCTTCAAATAATTTCTTTGTCTTTTCACGATCCCGTCCACGAGCGAAGCTATCGATCACCACATCTTTCCGATATAGTTGTCCCTATAAGTACACACATTTCTCTAGGAAGCGATCACATTCTTTACATTCTGGTAAAGGTATAGGCACAGGCGCTTCTTCCATTTCCTTGATCTTGTCTCGGAGTCTTGCATTCTCTTTCAACACTTCGGTCATTTGATCTTCTTTTGCTTCCAACTCCATCCTAGCAATTTTGAATTGGTTTCCCAATTCCTTGACTTTGGCTTTGTTCCTATTGTTGGCCATCTGAAATTTCAAAGTTTCTTGACGATTCCTTTCTGCATCGGCGAGGGCTATCTGATATTCTTCCGTAGACACAAAAGAGTTTGCAACTCTGGGTCGTTTCTTGGAACTACTTTCCCCTTCATACTCTCTTAGATGACGGGCCAAGTCCCTTTTCTTTTCTGTTAAGAAATATATTTCCATTTTTTTGTCTTCCAAATTCTGGCGAAGGTCCCTATTCTCCAATTGTACTTGATAGAAGGTTCCTTAGGCACATCGTGTTATAACTCAGTGGGTTGAAGATACAAGGAGATTTCCCTTTCAAAAGGCAACATAAGAGTTTTGACTCTTTCCTTCAACCAATCCACGTAAGGATCAAAAGCTAATACCTCTTTTAGCCCGAAGAATTCATTTCCCTTCCTCCCAACATGTGCCCAAGAAATTTCCACCTTCTTCAGTAATTCTGGATCTTCTCCTTTTTTGAAATACATAGGTTCGACCTCCTTGGTCGTGGGTGGACGCCTCATGGCATAACCTAATTGGAAAAGAGCGAGTACTGGGTTGTAGTTGATAACTCCTTTTGTTCCTATGAGCGGAACATTAGGGAAACCTACACAGTGGGAGATGATTTAGGTGTTATCAGACTTAAGTTTGTACCATTGGATATCGAAAGAGGTGAGTGTCATTAATTTGGATGCCCATGAACGAGGATCTTCTTTGAATGGCCCTTTGGTGGGTAACTGTGTCATGAACCATTTGTAAAGCATAGGTGTACAGCATACCACTACTCCTTTCTTTCCATTCCTGGAGTGGATGGTGTGGTAAGTATCTTCTAATAGCTTAGGTATAGGATTCTTATTCATGAAGACGCAAAGAGAAGCCAAGTCTACGATTTTTTTAATCTCAGGGAACAAGACAACTCCGTAAATGATAGCAGCCAACAGAGCATAATAAGCATCCCAATTTCCTGCGTTTTCCATCTCCTTAGCCTTACCAAGAAATCTACAGGAAGACCATAAGTGACTTTATTACGTCTCCATTTCCCTTTTACATTGTTAAGGCTCAAATAAAGAACCTTAGCAATGGCCTCAAAGTCAGGCTCAATAGAGACTCGAACAAATGGAACATGACTGGTGAGTTTAATGTGGAGAATATGAGCATACTCCCTCCGGTCTTATATGTAAGCAACAAAAAAAAAATTTACTAGTCTCAATTATAAGCAAAAATTAATTACCATTGATATAATTAAATTCTTCATTCCAATTTTACCCTCATATTGTAGTTTTCCAAAAACAAAAATATTCCTCTAATAACTTCACTTTTTACAGTTTCCAAATGAGCATTTATTTTTACTTTTACGTTGCATTTGTTACCATTGCCTTTTGAAATGCCATATCCTATTATAAATGTTTCATATCCAGTATTTTGTCTACCATGAGTCTTGTTCTTCTATTTTTTTTATACTCTAAACATGGCAAACCCACATCAAATAGCTAATGAATTTCCATCTTTTGATTTAGGCATTGAAGACTCTGAGAATTTATCAAATCTCATTGTTGAAGACTCTCTGGATTTGAACAAAGTTCCTGAAGTAGTTCTAACTCCAACAAATGAAAGTGCAGAAAATCTCGCTCCAAAGAATGAAAGTGAAGATGCTCTAACTCCAACAAATGAAAGCACCATTGTTGAATTACTAGATATGAGTGATTTTGATCTGAACAAATTACCGGCATTGGACTTCGGTGTCAAGCAAGAAGAGGTTAAAGACATGATAAAAATTTATTTAGATTATTTGAACTAGGTGTTCTTATTTGGATTTTTGTGAGGTTTAATGTTTCTGGTTTTTTTATCATTATGTTTCTTATTTGGTTTTCTTTTTCTAATCATTTTCTACTATTATGCTTTCATTGTCCATTTTATTTTGTAACGTACAGTACGAGTAATATGGAATAGTGTAAATAATATGCATAACTATAATAGTGGAATAAGCAATTTGCATAACTAAAATTGTAACGTACAATACTGGTAAGAAACTTGCATGCATAAGTTAATAAGCATCTTAAAAAGAAGAAAAAGTCTACTGCAATTTGCATTCTTGATATTTCCTTCTCCATGCAAATTCCATGATCTATTTGACCAACCTCCTGAAAAATGAATAAATTAAATTTGACAAAAATTAGCATACACTATTTTATTGAAAAATTTATAGAAAATATGATTATATAAACCAACAAGTTCATACCTTAATTATCATTGCTTAAATAGTTAAAAGTATTTTCAACTAACTCTCGGTCACATTTTAGTTGACTAGGTAGTATACCTCGAGTAAGCATCACATCTTTCTTCATATGGGGAATTCGGTAATTATTAGTTCCTTTAACTTTCATGATTTCAATCATACAAGATTGGAGTGTGAGAAAATTTTTGTCAGATTGTTTGCTAGAAAAATTATCATATGACTTTTGCACAACTTCAATGAGCTCATCAACCGATTTTGAAGCTTCCTTATGTTGTAATGACTGAATGGCATTAAAAAAACCAAGATCTAAGACATTTAAATCAGGAGAATTTGGTGGTTGACAAGATAAACGAATGTCAAATCCACCTTCAGAAGCTGCTTTACAAAATTCTTCGTCGTCAATAGAAACATGACATGGAGCATTATCTTGTTGTATATAAATTGTTTCCATTGCATGTTCTCTGAGCCATTTTTCTTTAATTGCAGGTAACACTTTATTGATTAGAAAATTTCGACTAACTTCTTTAGTGATAGAAGTAATTGGCTTAGTTTCAAGTGTACCCGAAGCTCTATTGACACTTGACCTTTTTGCTGCTACTTTCTGAACCAGAGGAAAGACGCCAATTTTTCCTGAAAATATCTCTTTATCATCGTCATCAAATCTAGGCCTAGCGACTGCTACTAGAAACATGACCTTGCCAATAAAATTTTTATTTTTGCATGTGCGATATGGCTCATCCTCATTTTCAAGAAGGTAGTAGTTTGCCGATTTTTTGGTCATGTAGAACCACTTTTCATCTATGTGGATGATATTATGCATAGACTTAAACTCTGGATCATGAGGAAGACTAGTTTCTTCAAGCATTGACAAGCAAAATCTAAGACGATCTTTCATATTACTATCTTTCATGTGTGGCTTTAGAGCATTTGAATGCCGACGCAAAGTCCCATCTTTTACAAACTTTAACAATGTTATTTTGCTAATGCCCAAGACAAATGCGAGGCTCTGAAGAGTGCTACGTTTAGCTAACGGAATATCCCACACTTTTTCAATATCTACCGTAACTCTTTTTCGACCACAATTTTTTGTTCTTTAATGAGACGCGTCACCTGTTTGACATACTTGCTTCCAAATGCGATAAATAACGTAGATGGATACCGAGTATTTGGATGCCAACCATATAACAATTCCGGATTCCAGTTTTCCACCATAACTATTCTTTATCAATAATTGGGAAATTATTTTCCGCTGGTCATTGTTCAAGAATGATCTTTTTTTCTTAACAGTTTGTGTCTCATGTTTAACCATGGTTGACACTGCATGTAAAAAAGTGAATATAATGAGAAAAAATGTTACTGCATGTTGTTACTAAGTGTTTACGCATGTCTTATGTTTATCATAAAAAAGTGAATAGAAAAAGTATGATGACACAGTAATAAACAAACCAAAAGTAATGATATAAACAAACCAAAATTAATGATATAAACAAAATGTTTAAAATAAATTGATTACAGTATTGCTTACTAAATCCATCTTCATATTGATTAAATTCAGTCTCCTCTCTATCATCTTCATTTGGATTAAATTCACTCTCTACAACTTTATAAAACAAACTTGAAAATAAAATAATTAATTAAGTTGTTTAATGGTTATCCAACATGAAAGAGCATATTACCTTCTTCCATGACATAAACTTCATTTGAATAGAGAGCATCTACATCAATGTCTTCATCATGGTTAGGAAATTCATGTTCAACTTCATTATCATTACTTGAAGAAGGATCATTTAGATTAATGGAAGGTGATATGTTGCATTCCATCATTTCATGATCAACATATGGAGAGTTTAGATCAATATTAAGAGGCATTTTTATTAAAACCAAATGACAATGATACAGGAAAAATAAGCTTTAGTATTTATAGAGCTCAACTTTGTAGTACAAGGCGGGAATGTATTTTGGAGTATGAAAATTTTGGCAAACTTTTCAGGCGGAACAGTTTTATATGAAAACTTAAAATTTTACTACATTTTTAAGGTGAGAGTTTATTGGTTGCAATGAGAGTGTGTGGAGGGTGAAAGTTTAAGAGTTTAAAAGTGGACATTTATTAGTTGCATTATAGATGCACCGATAGAAACAAAAGGACCAATAATTAAATGGTTATAAAAAAATTATTAATTAAATTCTAAATTAATAAATAAGGGTAAATATGGAAAAAATGCATATTTCTCACCATTTAAATGAATATATGACCACTTTCTTAAAGGGTGAGCTTTTTTTTTTTTTGCTTACATATAAGACCGGAGGGAGTACTCCTCAAGAGTAGGTGCTAACTGGTAGTCTTGAAATGTGAAACAACGCAACTCCGGATCATAAAATTGTTACAAAGTTTGTACGGCCTTATCGTCAACCCGAGCATCCAATAAAGATAGGAGATTCCCATATCTTTCGCCAAAAATGCCCATTTGTTGACAATTCATGAGGTCTCTGAGATCTTCAAGAGAGGGCCAAATACTAGGACAAAACTGATAGCTGAAGTTATCCCTCTTTGTCTTTAGGATGATATCAATGTTGTTTTCCATTCTTTAGAGGAAAAGGAAACCCTAGAGAGATCCTGGAAATGACAATGCGCATGCGAATTAATTATCGACATATATATATATATATTTGAAAATTAAATATGTTATGATGTGTGTGCAAATGATAATGGGGTTACTACTTCCATGATACTGATTCCTGTTGTACTGTCTCCACTACTACGGAAAAGGGCTACTAAAGCGCTTATTTTGGCCTTTAAAAGCGCTTAAAAGCGCTTTAAAAGCTTGCGCTGGCGTAGCTAACAAAAGCGCTTCTAAAAGCGCTCTGGTAGACCCCCCCTTTAAGAGCGCTTCCTGGAAAAAGCGCTCTGGTAGGACCCCCTATAAGAGCGCTTTCCTGGAAAAAGCGCTCTGGTAGACCCCCCTTTAAGAGCGCTTTTTAAAAGCGCTGCCAAAGACCAGTAAAAAAGCAAAAAAAATTTAAAAAAAACGCAGCCTACAAAAGCGCTTTTGTAAAAGCGCTCTGGTAGGCCCCCCTATAAGAGCGCTTTTTCTGGAAAAAGCGCTCTTATAGGGGGGCCTACCAGAGCGCTTTTACAAAAGCGCTTTTGTAGGCTGCGTTTTTTTTTAATTTTTTTTGCTTTTTTACTGGTCTTTGGCAGCGCTTTTACTAAGAAGCGCTTTAGTAGGTGGACCTTTAAGAGCGCTTTTTAAAAGCGCTGTCGTTTCTAAATGAGGTATTTTTATGTGCAGCCTATAATTTAATCCTCCCAGTCGACCTGTAATGTTTTCGACCTGTAATATTTTCGACCTGTAATATATTTTTGACCTGTAATATATTTTCGACGCTATTATTTCAGCCATCAGTAAGACAATATATGTACTAATATAATACCATTATAATATCCAAAATTATATATATACATCATTACATCAATAATATTATAGTTCAAATCGACACAAATCCTACATGAAAAATTGCCTAATATAATATTGACACAAATCTTCTTTAATTTCTTCCAACTTAAGCTTCGGGTACGCAGCAGCACGGAATTCGTCAAGGTACTACAAAACAAAAACATAATATAAATGATATATTTAGTTAAATGTAATAAATTATATGAAATTATCTTAAGTTATAAATTCATACCGTGAGCGGAATCTCTAATTGATTCGCCTGAAGGATTTCTTTCATGAACCTCAAAACAAAGTATCCGCAATCATGACTGTTTCGCTGTTGCGGACACTACATAATAAAACAAATAAGATTCTATAGTTGTCTTGTTTTACCAAGTAGCATAAATATTATAAGCAAAATTGTGAAAAGTAATGTACCTGCACTTGGATCCAAGTGATGTTGTTCGATTTAGTTCGGGATACCTGTGCGTCCCGTTGACTACGGAACACTTGTATTGATCTAATTATTAAATATATAAAAGCATATGTTTAAATCAATCCCACAAATAAGAAAATATATAAATATACACGAATATATATTTAGAACGATCCCACTTACAAATCAACGATTTCCTTCATAGCCGGATAATTGGTCCATTCACCATTTACCGAATTCAGATAATACACGACTTCTCTTATCGGGTTGATAGCAAGCAGCAACCAGTGTGCTCTATAAATTAAAACAATAGGTTATATGAAAATTTTGCTATACACAAAAGAAACAGAGATTAGATGAACCAAGAATGAGAAACTAACCCTACTGGTCGGGTATTATACGCCCAAAGATGCAGACTTTCTGTATTGCCGGTGGACATGAATCTATCTACTAAGCGCTGTCTAACTGATTCCGGTTCCGAAGCAATTGTCATTCCGCTGCAATGGGCGGAAGACACGAAACGGAATCTGTTAGACAATGCAGTCTCGCGCAACACTCTGTCATACAACAACCTTAAATAAAAACATAATAAACATTAGATTATTTTCATTGAAATGTGTAAATAAATTATATTGTGGGACTAATTAAATAATATATCGGATGAGTGAATATTACCGGATGTATGAGTGCAT